GACCTTTACCCCAGCTGGCCCAGCCTCTCCCAGTTACTTTTCCTGGGGTAAGCACTCCTTGATCTCTTTAAAATGCCCCTGCTCCCTCCATCCCCAGTGGATACACACACAAGCCAGGAATCAGTGTTGTCAAGAATCTAGAGAACACATCAAAAGGCGAAGAAGGAAAAGTTGTTGGAGCAAGGTGATGGTGGCGCTCAGCCTCGCTCCTCACTACTTGCAGGGAATGGTCTCTCCCATCTGAACCTGTTTCCTCAACCCCTATCAAGCTTGAGAAACAGATGAGCTGACTCAGTGGACACACCAGTGTCCAGACAGATGGAGAGAGCTGCGCAAGCACAGTAGGTGATCACTGATTTTAGGAGGAAAGCAGCAGGTGCTCAGGACCAGCAGGGAGAGCGAGAAGGCGTGGGGATCCAGGGTCCCCAGAGGCAGGTGACAGTAGGGCATCAGATGCTAGAAACAGAGAAAGTCCCAAAGCAGTGTCCACCGCACAGAGAAGCTGAGGCTCAGAGAGGTTAAGGGGCTTGTCCACAGTCACACAGCCAGTTGGCAGAGTGAGGAAGGCACAGGGGCAAACTTGCTCACTTTTTAACTTGATCTGGCTCAGTCTCACCCAGCCTTGGGGCAGAGGCTCAGACCTCAGCCTCTCCAGGGTAGGGCAGTTTCCTCTGGAGAGGAGGGGGCAGGCCCCCAGACCCAAAATGCAGAGTGGTTCAGGGCTTGGGCCCTGGAGTCAGCAGACCTGAGTCTGAATTCAGACACCCACACACAGGGTCTGTTGATCTTGAGTGAGAGGAATCACTCCTAGCTCTAGTCCCCTGTCTGTCAAATGGGAATAATGAGTTGCCCGCAGTGTTTGTCTTCCTTGAGTCTGAGGCCGTGCTCAGGCGAGATGCTCTCCCCGCAGAGCCCATCCCCACACCACCCCCCCACCTCCTCCCGCCTCCCTCCTGGTACCCACAGCCTCCTCCCTGCTTCTTCCTGTGACCAGTTTCCCCCCATTCACCACACAGAACCACGGCCATTGCAAAAGCAAAACAGATCAAATCATGCCCCTGAGCCCTTTTACCCTCCGGGGTTTTCGCTGCCTCGAGGATGAACTGGCACCACCTTCCCATTGCCAACGAGGCCCACGAGTCTCCCCCACCTCTCTGGCCGTCTCTCTACTCACTTCAACCCACTGGCTTCCTTTCCCCTTGGACAGGTGCTCCTCAAACCATCTATGGTGAAGGGCCGATTTTTTTTTATTTAGTAAAATGTTTATAAAACATGATAAAAATGAATTCACAGAAAATGGCACACCCATGCAACATACAAGACCATTTGTTTCACTGTCAGATACAACACACACAAACTTCCTCTATCAGATGGTTGCAAGTTTCTGAAAGCTCCCTCGGGAGTCCCATGCTCACCCTGTCCTGGGTTGGTCATTTCAGTTCATTCTGACTCCCACACTTGGAGCAGCAGGGCCATGAGACACTCTATCCGGTTCTGCCTCGTCCTCATTCCACCCCAGCTCACCTCCTGGCTGCCTCTTGCCCTCAGGACTCAGCTCGGGCTCATAGTCTGGTCCTCAGTGAGGTTGTCCTGGCCACTCCTCCTGCCCTACCATCACTGTCCCATCACCCTGTCTCCCTACCTGCTTGTTGTCTTTGACCCACCGATGTATCCCAGGATCTGCACCCCATTAGAACAGGAAACTCATGTCTTGTTTGCAGCTGGATCTCTGGATCCCTGGATCCCATTGCCTGGCTCAAGAGAGTGCTCAGAACATTTGTTGGCTGAAAGGGTGGAAGGAAGGAAGGAAGCGGGGAGAGAGACAGACAGGTAGAAAGAAAGAGAGAGAAGAAAAAAGGGGAGGAGGAAGAGGGGGGAGGAGATGGAAGAAGGACAGAGGGAAAAAGAGAAAGCAAGAGAGAAAAAGGGGGAGGAGAAGGAGAAAGTGGGGGAGGAGGAGGAGGAAGGCGGGGATGGAGGGAGGGAAAACATGAGGCATGCTGAGACCACAGGAGAAAGAGAGCTTTCTGCCTTGAACTCAGAGGAGGCTTCTAGAAGAGGTATGAAGGAGTAGGCTCTTGAAAGTGTGGAGGGAGTTTTCAAAACATGTTAATTGAGCATGGGGGTGGGGGTGAGGTCACACCAAGCACCGATCAGCATTAAGCAGAGCAGAGGGTGAAAATGGCCAGACCCGCACATGCACACATGTGGTCCATGAGGCAGGGGTGAGGGAGACTAACAGAGGCCAGAGAACACCCTGAGGGTCCTCCTGGGCCCTGGAAACGCAAAGTTCCACTACTTTAAAAAGTGGGGACTCGAGCTTGCAGACGGCCATGGTAATGCAGTTTTGGGGTCTGTGCCCTGCTTGGCCTAATCAAGTTATAATAGAACAAGAACTGTACAACATCAAGAGTGAACCCTAATGTAAAGAAAAAAAAAGTTACAATAGAACCAGCTCTGATTCCCTGTCTCCCTCCTGGCCCGCCCCCTCCAGCCACTCCATCCCCACTGACTGCGCCAAGGGCCAGCTGTCCGGGCAGCCGCTCTGCATGAAGCAATATTACGGGCTTTTCTCCTCCTACCGGCTCCCTGGCCACACCCAGGACACGCTGGTGACCCAGAGGAGCAGTGTCATGCCCGAGCCAGAGCACGTCATCGTGGCCTGCCGCAACCAGGTAAGCTGTCCCTCGCTATTGCAGCCTCTCGGGCTTGGGGAGGGGCCCGCGCACCTGGGTATTCATTCCTGCTTCTCCAAGGTTGCTCAGCCCCCTCACATGGTGAGCTTGGCAGGGATTCCCAGTCAGTCTCGTTTCTCTCCACTGGTTGGACTTTAAGAACGAGAATTGTCCATTGAGAATGCCTTCAGTGGGTTCCCATTTCAGCCCTGACCAGCCAGGTCAGGTCCAGAGAGCCACCTGGATAGACTCAAGTTCGTTAATGAGACCCGCATGTTCTCAGCCCTTCTGCATGCAGTCACCCAGGCCACGGCCTTCCTGGAGACCACACACGGACAGATGGACAGACAGACAGCTTACAGACTGATGGATGGGACCTCGGTGTGGGCTCCATACTTACATTCATCCCATCTGATCCTACGGTGACCCTGCAGTGGGGACCTTAGAATTTCCATTTGACAGATAAGGAGACGAGACTTAGGTTAAATGGCTTGTCCAAGGGTGAGAAGGACTCCTGGGTCTGCCAATGTCACAAGCCCACACTCCATCCCCTGCAGCTCAGGTCCTCTGACTGCGTTCCAGAGGTTCCAACAAGGGTCCATGGGGGCCCAGGGGACAGGCTGAGCGTGAGGACTCCTAATCCCTCACCAGTGCCCACCAGACACCGTATATTCTCTTTATTAAGGCTCCACATAAATGTTCCATCTGACAAAAAGCTGTTTTGTTTTGTGTTAATACCCAAGTTTGACACCCACCCCAGGAACTCCCCTGATACTTGCTCTACAATGTTTTCTCCTTCGGGTCATTTGACATTTCCAGTCTAAGTCAGAAGCCCTAAGTCTGCCATCTGAGGGCAGCTGTTCCCAGGTTCAAAGCTCACCTGACACCTGGCTGGCCACAAAAACAAGAACCTCTCTCCATCTTCACTTCAAAGTCAAACCCAGCATCCCCAGCCCCCTCACCACACAGTATCCATCCTTTCGGGGAACACTCTCTCGGGGCTCCTGCTCTGAACCAGGCCACTTGGGACCAGGTACTCACGTCAAGCCAGCTGAGAAGGGATCTTGACCTGGGACTCGGAATAAAGCTCTTAATATAACGCCCAAGGCTCTAGCTTCAAAGCTATCGAATGACAGCCCGCCTGCCTTACATACAAAGCACATGCAGGCACACGTGTATAGGTGCACACACATGCGTAGAGCATTTTGGTGTGATTTTTCTATTTTAACCTTTCTCTGCATATTATTGGCTGGCTTGCTTTTTTTTTCCCCCTCCACTCACCAGTAGGTGTGAGATGTATCCCCCTTCACTCTAGCTAGAACTAGTTCATCCCTTTAAACTGCTGGGTAGACATGCACTGGACAAGTCCAAGTTTTGCTTAGCCATTTCCCTACTGCCAATGTCACAAGCCTACATTCCATGCCCTGCAGCTCAGGTCCTCCTGAGAACATTTCGGCTCTGTCTACCATTTTGCTATTGCAAACAAGGCTGGTACATTCCTTTAGCTGTCTCCCGGGGCACAAGAGTACATGGTTGTCTAAGCCTTAGGCCAAAGTATGTATTTATAAGAGTGACTGAGTCACAGGGGATGCACAGTTTTAGTTTTGATGAACATTGACCTCCAACTGCGGTTATACCAATTTCTACTCAATTCCCCCCACACATAGTGGTTTTAATGGTCAACTAAGAGCTACAGAAACAAGCTTTCTTTAGCTAAGTTTAATCTGGCCTGCTTTGACTTGGGGCAGCTTGGAGTCCAGCACAGTCCACTGTGTTGAGCTGGTTCCCAAACTGTGAATGGCCTCTTCAGAACCATGACGTACCCTGGGAACCGTAGGCCTGAGCCTCCTCTGTCCTGCTCCCATGTGAAGGCTCAGGGAAGGCCTGATGCCTTGGGCTGGCTGCCCTGAGTGATGTGTTTGACCTGTTTTCCCCACAGTTCTTTGTCTTGGATGTTGTCATTAATTTCCGCCGTCTCAGTGAGGGGGATCTGTTCACTCAGTTGAGAAAGATAGTCAAAATGGCTTCCAACGAGGATGAACGCTTGCCTCCAATCGGCCTACTGACGTCAGACGGGAGGAGCGAGTGGGCTGAGGCCAGGACAGTCCTCTTGAAAGGTTAGCAGCAGTGCCCAGCGCGTCTCCACGCTCATCTCGCATCCTCACGCCCATCGCCTCCCTTCCTCCAGGGTCGGGCATCACGCCTCATTGCCATTTGCCATAGCACGGGACTCTTAGGCCTCCCTCCAACCCAGGACCCATGGCAGGTTCTGCTGTCGCCCGAGGTCCCTTGAAGGTGAAGTCACCTTTGGTACCCTCCTATTTCATCTGACAACGCGCTAGCGTTCTGGGTGAGGCTGACTAGCACTGGAATCCGAGGATGTCCAGGAATATTAGGGGAGGGAAGGTTTTGAGCTGGGGCTGCAATGAAGCAACTGTGCTTTACTGGTGGGCAGGGATGGTACTCAGGGGTCTGAGTCACTGGGAGAGCTGTCAGTTGGGGGTTGGTTGGGGATGGAGCCCATCGGAGACGATGGGTTGGCTGCCTCCTTCACCTGATTTCTTGGTCCTAGAAGTCTTCATCTTCAAGTTAACTTTATCCTTCTGACTGCTGCTCTTAGGAAAGTTTCCAAGTATTCCTATAAGAAATCCAGTAAAAGTCTTAACGTTTTCAAATCATCCTTCTGGAAATTACTTTTCAAATCCAAAGCAAGCTCTATTCTCAGGAACTGGCTGGAGAGCCTTACTTTCTTGCCTACATTAGAGAATTCCTGGATGAAAGGTGAGACTTATGTGATCATGCATCTGCCACTCAAGTTTTCATGCCACTCAGGGAGTCTGAATGGACCCCTGAGGGCCTGTAAACTGAGGACCTGGGCCAGGTCTGGGGAGTGTTAGAGACAGAGAGGATGAAGCCCTTTGCCCTGAGCAGCCACCTTGATTGGAATAGGGGAGAGAGGGCATATGGGGAAGCAGATTCAAGTCCCTAGTAATACAGTGTCTACCCATATACGGCAATAGAGACAGCAGGTGTCAAATACATGCTCCAGGACTTCAGAGAGGGGACAGAGCCCTTCCAATAGGGAGGCTTTTGAAAGGCTTTGTAGGAAGAGGTGGGAGTTGAACAGAGCCTTGTGACATGAGTGAAAGGGGCAGAAAAGATGGACAGCATCCAGGCAGGCAGACCGACTGTGGGTAAAGCCGACCACCCCAGCAGGGCCATCTCTGCCCTGCCCAGGACCATGGGGAGAGCAGTCTGGCCAGCAAAGATGGTCATGCTGGACATAATAGGAGAATTAGTTGGTGGGACTTGGCTCTCTGGCAACAGGCCCATCCCTCTTCCCAGGAAGTTCCTCCCCCAGAGCTGGCTGGCTCCTCGCACCATCCAGAACCCAGCCCAGGTGTCCCACCGTAGGCCCTCCTTGGAAAACCCTCCCACCCCTAGTCCACTCTGTCTCCTAGTCCTGTTTTCTCATCTTGACTGTTTCTCATTCTCTGACGTCAGCTTTTCATTTGTTTGATTCCTTCTGATTACCTGCCTCCCTCCCCAGCACCGTATATAAGGTCCAGGAGAACTGGGGCCTTATCTGGTTGAACTTCTGAATCTGCTGTGCCAAACACAGTAGGGCATTTGTCAAGTCAAAGCATGAAGGGTTCCGAAGACATATTTCCCATTTACCAATGAATTATACTTGTATTCACTTATTGGGCATCTTCAAATGCTTGGCCCTAAATCAGAGGCTGTACAGGCCACAGGGAGGGGTAAGTGTTGACCCTGTTCCCCTGGACCTAACTGCCAAGTGGGGGAATTAATAACTTACCATTTGAAAGTGAGTTAATTCCCTCAGGAGACCATGGTGTAATCCAATCCCACTCTTCTCCCCTCCAGGGACAGAGACAGGCATCAGAGTAATCGCCTCGGCTTCCGGTATGGTTCCCACTCTATTAGCAGGCCAGGCCCTAGCCATCTCCCTGCAGGACTGAGCAGGATCGCCTTGGGGGCTGAGTGCCTGGGCTGCGCTAATCAGAATTAATTTGCTAATGACACTTGATCTGGCCTTCTGAATGGAAGTGCTGTTTCTGAGGGAAGTACTTCTCTCAGAAGAGAGAAGTGGGGGGGCCACGTACTCCTTCCCTTTGTAAATCTAATTCATCCAGTTAGCACTGGCTGTGTCATCTCCACAGCGGGAAGCCCGTCCTTCACGGAGCCCTCCTCCCTGGAGCACCCTCTCCCACGGAAGGGACACGGGGAAATCCTTAAGGAGACGACTTCAGCGTAAAAGTGAAAGATTAAGGCAGCTTGGGCTAGAGTTGGGACTGAAGGTGGAAAGACATGGGTGGGGTCTAGATATATTTCAAAATCAAAGCGACAATAAGGAAAAGAGGAATGAAAATGATTCCTACGTTTTTGATGTTAGCAACCAAGTAGATGGTGGTACCATTCACTGAAATGGCTACAGAATGGTGAAGTCCTTTCCAAGTATGTTAAGGTTGAGGTGCCTTGAGTCATCTAAGTGGAGATGTCAAGTTAGATCTATGTGTCTGGAGCTCAAGGGAGAGGTCAGGACAGAGATATAAATTTGAGAGCCGTCAGCACAGAAGTGATATTTAAAGCCCTGGACCTGGATGACATCATCTAGAAACAGAAGAAGGGGGCCTCAGAGGTCAGGGAGAGAAAGATGCAAAGGGGACTGAGAAAGAGCAGCCTGTGAAGTCAAGAAGAAACCAGGAGATGAATCACAAAGATCTAAGAGGGAAAGAGTGAGACACCAACCATGTGGAATTCTACTGAGAGCTCGCAGAAGAGCAGGTCAGAGAGGAGACTCTGGGCTTAGCAACCCTAAGTCATCTGTGATCTCCACAAAAGTCAGACTGGAGTAGTAGGAAGGGTGAATGATTGTATGCTGATGGAAGTGATCCAAGAGTTGGAATTAATTGTTGATGAGATGATCACTGAGTAGAATCAGGAAGTATGGATGGTTCTTTTCAGATATTTTGGTACCAGAAGGAGCAGAGAAATGGGAGTTGTTGGAAGAGGATGAGGGTCAACAGAAATGTCCTTAGAAGGAGAGGCAAGTGCAAGGAAGTAACCCAGTAAGTGAAACTGTTAACGAGGAGAGAGGATAAAGGGAGGACTGAAATTCTTACAAAGGCAAAAGGAGATGGATCCCAGAGACTAAGAGGCCTTTGGTTGGTACAAGGAAGCTGGAAACCTGGGCCCAAGAATCTCGGGGATGTAGCTGCAGTGGCAGGAACATGAGGAGGTTCCCCACTGGTGGTTTCTGGTCTCAGATCAGCAGAGCCACAGCCATGTGCCTAGAGGGGTCCAGGTGGGATGCTAAAGATGGAAGAGAAGACACGAAATAGCCTCTTGGAAAGTGGGAAAGACAACTTGCTCAGGAAACTTGGTAAGATTTCTGGACTGTGTTGAGCTCATATTTGAGGGCTTGGGGTGATACATTTTAGAAGAAGCTAATCACCATTGTTTGGCAATCCACTCCCCCCACCACCACCACCATAGTGTTCTGGTCCTGAGGTTCAGGCAAAGAGAAGATGGGTTACCAAGTTCAGCCAAGGTTGGCGAGCACAAGGGAGGTGGCAAGGGGGGACTGTGCAGGGGTCGGTTACAACGATGGAAACTAAACTGGGTCGGGAGGTGCATGAGTCCCCTCGGGTTGCCATGACAATGTACTGCAGACTGGCTGGCCTGAACATCAGCCATTTATTGTCTCATGATCTGGAAGCTAGACGTCCAAGATCTGGGTGTCAACAGGATGGGTGTCCTCTGGGTCCTCTCTTCTTGGCTCATAGATGGCTGTCTTCTTCCTGTGTCCCCACATCATCCTCCCTCTGTGTGTGCAGATGTCAGTGTCCTCATCTCCTCTTCTGATAAGGACACCAGTCATCATGGTGGATTTGGGCCCACTCTAGTGGCCTCATTTTAGTTTAACTCTAAAAAGACCCATCTCCAAACACAGCCCCATTCTGAGGTAGAGCAGGTTAGGAATTCAGCTTAGGAATTTTGAGGGGACACAGCTCAGCCCAGAACAGGAAGGGGGAGGGTATAGCTCAGAGGTAGAGCACGTGCATAGCGCGCCTGAGGTGCTGGGCTCAATCCCCAGTACCCCCAATAAATAAATAAACCTAATTCTCACCCCCCACAACAACAAACAAACAAACAAAAATCTAGACGCCATACCTGGAGGGAAGCGAAAGAAAGAGATGGGTGACAGCAAAAACAGGCAGTGGGGCTGATGGGTTTTGGAGGTGTCGGAGTGGTGAGACGTGCTGCAGTGGGAGGTAACAGATTGTGTGAACCAGAAGTCAAGGGTGTGGTCAGAGTGTGGGATGCTTGGACTGAGACTTCAGAGGGGGTCTGTTCCTGCCCAGATGTGATTGTGGGAGCGGGTGCTGAGGTTACACTATCAGGTGGAGGCGGCAAGAGGAGGATGCATGTGCATCACGCATAAGGCTATTTAAGTTACCGGAGTGATGATGGGAGTGGTGATGGTGGGGGAGGAAGGTGAGCCAGGGTCCAAGATCCTCAGGGTGGGTGCTTGTGAGGAAGTCAGTGGAGCACAGCAGCAAGGAGGGTGAAGTGATAGGGGATGAAAGTCTAACAGTTGCAGCTCCAAAGGGAACAGGCAGGGGGAGTTGTGTAGGAGCGGGAACAGGGAGCGGGGCACCACCCTCCGACCTGGTGCTGGGATGAGTGAAAAGGAAACTCAGTTTCCTAGGAGGAGGGAGGCAGGGACGTGAGTCCTCATGGAGCCACCTCCAATTGAGTCAGGGAGGTGAACCCAGCACTTTCAGAAGAGATTAACAGTGCAAAGGACCAGTGGGTCAGGCACCGTGAGGGGTTCCGCAAGGAGGAAAGGAGAGGGTGAGGGCTGAGTCCACACAGGGGACATGGGAGCATCCAGGGATGGGAGGTCCAGGAGAGACCCAGGGCTGGTGGTCACCACTGCAAATGATGCTCTCAAATCCCTAACCTCTGGAAGCCTCTCTCTCCTGGTTCTAGGAGTAGCCGCTGGCTGTGGTTGTGAGGCTGTGGGTCTTTCTGGCTCACAGCAGTAGCACAATTAACACCATCAAATGGGTTGAGCTTTCTAGGGTAT